CGGGGGAGGGGGGATGCGCGGAGGGGACGGGTCTTTCCCGGACCCAGCCCTCTTGGAAGAAGTGGCCCCAGGCCCTCCCTCCCTACTGGAGGAGAGGAGAGAGGGGCAGCCCCGGGAGGGCATCCCTGTGTCGGGGCAGCGGTGGGGAGCACACAGGTGGGGATCATGGGGGACCTGTCCGCCAACGACATGCAGGCCTAGAGGTAGCTGCCCTTTGCATGCTGGAATATCCTCATTTAACAGATGACGATGCTGACGTGCTCGGGGTCACACACACCGCCACACAACAGGGAACATGTTCCCTCAGAGAGGAGAGCCCACGTCCAGGGCCATCTCCTCCCCACCCCAGGCCTGCCTCAATGTTGCCCTGGCAGGGGTGGGTGGGGGCTGCCCAGCCTCTGCGGTGTGGCCTCTCCCTCAGTGCCTCCCTTGAGAAACTACACTTTAGAGCACCAAGTCTCATAAAACCCCTCCCAAGGGCCCGTTTTACACCTGAGGACACAAAAACCCTGAGAGGCAACTTGCCTGGGCTCCTGGGAAGGGGGCTCACGTGGCAGAGCTGACCCTTGAACCCAGGTATGTGGGACTCTGGCTGCGCCCAGAGAAACCGTGTTATTGTTTCTGGTTTGGGCCCCAGATTCAGAGGTGCTTGGGGCACCGGGTGGGTGCTCCCTGAGTTCCAGGCAGAAGGCTTCCTGAGGGTCCAGACCAGGCTCCGGATGCCAGAAATTCTGGCCCTAACTACTTGCAAACTGCACCAGACCTTGGACAAGTCCATTATCTCTCCAAGCCTTAGTTTCCTCACCTGACTAGAGGCTTCTCCACTGGATAGCTCGGCTCTCCTGTGAGGCAGGCTAGTATCATGGGAAGACTAAGGCTTTGAAGCCAGATCAGCATAGTTTGATCCCAGCTCCACCACTGTGCCACTGGGCAGGTCCTCACCCCTCCCCTCTAGGCTTCAGCTTCTTTATAATTCCCCTCTCACGGAGTTGTAGTATCAATTAAATAATACAAGATCCGGGAACAGCCTGACTCAGTGACTGGAAGACAGTAGGCACCTGATGAGACTGAGCATCTGGGGTCCTGACACCCCCTTTCACCATCCCCTGCCTCACATTCTCTCCCTCTGTCAGTCTCTGCACCTTTGAACTCAGCCCAGGCAGAAAACCCCAGGAACCTGGCGGCAGGAAGGACAGGTCACAGGGCCTCGGGCTTCCATCAGAGTCAACCAGGATATCGGGAGATGCCCTCTCCCCAGAAATGGCTTGTCTCCCAGAAATGTTATCTTACCCTCTCTGACAGTGGGTAGCACCCTCAGGGACCAAGTGGCAGCTGATTACAGAATCAATTTGCTCGTTTGATATGCTATCTCGATCCCATTTAACCAAGTGCTCAGTCCCCCCAGATAACACAATCAGTGCAATCGACAGTGACGGGAGGTGCCCATTAGCTCCGCTCCATTGCCTGGTACCCACCTGGCAGCCAGCGGGAGGAGCTGGGCCCGCTATGGTCCCTTCCTGAGTTAGAGGATCTCCTTGTCCTCCCTCCCCCAGTCAAGAATCCCACAGGTACCTGCCCTGGGAGCCACGGGCCACATGTCTTATCGGGCAATCCCGGAAGGGGACACTGGTCTTCAGTCTACGTGATGAGAGAGGGTCCCATTCCTTGTGCCATGTTAAGATCAGTCTCGGCTCACCTGGCAAAGACTGTGTGGCATCTGGGAGGTGGGCAAAGAGAGTAGCCCTGTCCTGGCATGTCACAAGCACTGCCTGGCCCCTCCGTTAGTGACTCAAATGAAAGACACGGGGCACTGGCCGACCATCTGCTCTGGGGGGTACGGGCCTGGCTGGGCATTGAGGTTGGGCATTGTGTCGTCAATGTCTGGCACGGAATGCCAAAGCACAGATGAGCTGCTTCAGTGGGCATCTCAGGAGATAAGGGTTGGTCCTGTTTTCTCAGGGTCTCGGGGCACCAAGGCCCCTCTGACCTAGAACCATGGAGAGCCCTCTGACCTGCCCCTACCTCTCCCACCCCGTCTCCTCCCTCCTCCCATTTGTCTGACACATCAGAGCTGCTATGGGCTCCTGAACAGAATGTAGGCCATCTGCCACTTCCTCACGCCTGCCAATCCGTGGGGTGGGTGTGAGCCTGTGGAATGACAACCCCACCATCAGACATTCAGAGGAACCAACCTTCTCCTCGCAAACTGTTAACTCGCTCTGGCTGTGTTTCCCTTCAAGTGCTCATGCAGCCATTTTGAGAGCTGTGAGAACCAGAATATCCTCCTGGCCTTCTCGGAACTGGCAGAATTCTATATGAGCTGAATCTGGAGCCAGCATCCATTGACCTTATCCCGGCAGTTAAGGATCTGGAGAGCTTAGTGGCCCACAAGCAGAATATGCATCATCTGTCCAGCTCTGTGGTTCAAAAAGTCAAAATAATCGATAGCAGAGCAACCTGTACCTCGAACCAGCGAGAGCAAATGAGTTGCCTCTTCCGCAGCCTTTCGAATTGATTAGTAGTGGCTGCCTGGATAACTGTGTCGAGAAGGATTCTGAAGTCCCATGCGGCTCAGCAAGGAATACTCCAAACTGGCTAACGATGTCTGCCATGGATTGGGGCTAAGCATTCTATCCCTGCTTTAGACCCTGCCCTAGATAGTCCTGGCTAGTATCATAAGAAAGATCACGGGAATTTAGAGACACATATCAAATGAGGAAAAGAAGTAGTATGATCTCACTTAATCCCCCAAGTAAACCCCATTTTACAGATGAGTAGACTAAGTTGCAGAGAGTTTAGGTTATTTGCCCGAGGTCAACAGCCTCAAAGCAGAATGGATTTGGGGTTTGAAGCCACATATGCTTTACTCTAGCTCTTGGCTCTTCCTACTCTGTTCACATCACTGTTCTAAAAGGATCAAAAGAAAAAAAAAAAAGACGAAAGAAACGATTTTTTGAGAAGCGAGAGAAATAAGACCAAATGGGACCCTAACAAAGATGCTATGTACCCGTGAGGGAATCTAAAACAAAACCCCACATATATGAAGCGTTTCCTGAAACTAATGACTAGCAGCTTCACTGAGAACGGAAAATGAACTTGGCAGCCCTATAATCTCAGGTGGAAAAGTCACTGTGGTGGGGGGATCGGACTCTTGAGAAGGGTTTTTGGTGTGTGACCCGGAGCAAGCCACTTCCTTTCTTTTTTTGTTTTCTTTTTTAATGTGTATTATTTTTAAGACACACACACACACACACACACACACACACACACACACAGAATGAGCGGGAGGGGGCGGGTAGAGAGAGAGGGAGACACAGAATCCGAAGCAGGCTCCAGGCTCCGAGCTGTCAGCATGGAGCCCGACGCGGGGCTCGAACTCACGAACCGTGAGATCATGACCTGAGCCAAAGTCAGATGCTCAACCCAGACGCCCCCACTTCCTTTCTTTGGCCTGTTTCCTCCCCTACAAAATGAAGGCCCCAATTAAGAATGGCAAATACGTATTTGTCCTGTCGGTCTGAGTTATCAAGGCTGGTTGCCGGGCATCTTGTGTTGAGAAGGAGTCTGAGACCGAATCTGAGAACGGCAGAAAATAGTGGACAGATAGAGTAACCGCGTCCACCTCTGGTGTCAGAGGGGAAACGAGGGGACATCACATATCTCAAGGCTGTCACGTGAGATATGTGATGTCCCCTCATTTCCAGCTCTCAAACTCTGTAGCTCCTGGTTCTGGACATTGAGCACACTCCCCAAGTCTCTCCGTCAACAGAGAGATGGATCTCCTGCTGTGTGGACTGGGGGTGACGCTGTTCACGGTGGGGCAGGGGGGCACCTCTGATGATTCGTTATTATTTCAGGACTCTCCTCAGAGGCCCCAACCACGGGGGAAGGGCAGGCCCCAGGCATCGAGGAGATGGATGGGGAACTGACAGTGGCCCCCACGCCTGAGCAGCCGGAGCGAGGCGTCCACTTCGTCACAACAGCCCCTACCCTGAAACTGCTCAACCACCACCCGCTGCTCGAGGAATTCCTACAAGAAGGGCTAGAGGGGGGCGAGGCAGGGCTGAGGCCGGCGCTGCCCTTCCAGCCGGACCCACCTACACCATTCACCCCGAGTCCCCTTCCCCGCCTGGCCAACCAGGACAGCCGCCCTGTCTTCACCAGCCCCACTCCGGCCATGGCCGCGGCACCCACTCAGCCCCAGTCCAGAGAAAGACCCTGGAGCCTGGAGTCAGAGGCTCCTGTGCTTCGTATCACAGCTCCCCTGCCTCCAGTGCCCACCCCAGGCCCAGGGGAAAGGTCCAGTACTACACCCCCTAGCAGAGCATGGACTCCAACCCAGGAGGGTCCTGGAGACATGGGCAGGCCATGGGCTCCAGAGGTTGGGCCCCAGACCACGGGACTTGGGATGGAGGGAACTATCGCCACCTCTACAGCTTCAGGGGACGATGAGGAGACCACCGCCACCATCATCACCACCACCATCACCACCGTCCAGCCACCAGGTCAGCTGCTCGCTGGCTTGCAGATCTAGAAATGGGGATCGGGGAAATGCGGGGCCCCCGCGTTCCTCTGTCGCTGTCACTGTGCCACCCTGCCTTGCCCTTTGGCACCAAGGGCCAGCACGTAGGAGGCATGTGGATGGGAACCAGATAGACCTGGGTTCAAACCCTGATTGGAAGTGACTACAACAGACCCTAGGAATTTTGCTGAACCTCTCTGAGCCTCCTCTGTTAAATAGTGGTAAGAAGACGGACCTCAGTGAGCCTTTGTGAGAACTGAGCTAAGATTACATATAGTAGGTGCTCAAGAAAAGGTGGTCCGTTCTGTCAACAGGGGAATAGACGTCCCAAGAGGCGGGCTTCACCACACACACACACACACACACTGATCAGCCTTGGTTGAACCAACTTCACCAGAGCTGGGCTTAGCCTTTTGTTTCCTCCTGCCTCCCAGGCCCTTGTAGCTGGAATTTCTCAGGCCCAGAGGGCTCTTTGGACTCCCCCATGGCCCCCAGCTCACCTATTGATGTCGGCCTGGACTGTTTCTACTACATCTCCGTCTACCCTGGCTACGGCGTAGAAATCAAGGTAAGCAGCCTGGATCTGGCGGAGACAAATCTGGGGCTGGTGTATTATCTTTCCAGAAAGGTGCTGGCTATCGGGGGAGGTGGGGATGCTCAGGGGCATCAGTTGGAGGGGGGCCTAGAGCCAGGGCTGGACCCAAAACTTGGCCAGTTTCTGCCCTATGCACCGGGGACTAAAGAGCTACTGTGCCCAACTAGTAACGCCTTGGGTTGAAAGGGGCTGCAGGCGAGCCCATGCTCTTCTTCCCCAGGAGCTCAGGAGAGCTTGAGGAGGGGCTCTACCCTTGGAGGGGCAGGGGATTGGGTGAGTCTCTGAATTTATGTGACTGAGTAGCAAGAGCTCAGGGCTGTGTGGTTGGGCTCGAGAGAGCCATGCAGCGTCAATGACTCACTTATTCACTCACTCACTCATGCCTTCAGCAAAGACTCCCTGAGCAGCTCCTCTGGCCAGGTCCTGTGCTGACTCCTGGGGTGCAGAGGTGAGGGAGACAGACGTGGTGCACCATCAGCTGGTGGGCGAGTCAGACCCACAGTCCCAGCTTCCTGCCACCTGCCCTTTCCGGGCCATCTCATCCCTCCCTTGGATGAAGACTCTTTTAATCCTCAAACCTGAGCCCGAAGGTCCTCAAGGATATCCCATAGGCTCTTCCACCCCCATGCACCTCAAACCCAGCTCTTCCCTTTTGCTCCCCCAAACCTGCATACCGCACCACTCCTGACCTTAGAGATGGACCCTAACCCATCAGAAACATGGAACAGGGCCACCACTGTGCAAGGTGGATGGCACCTGGAACTGCACGGTGAGGTCAGCCTGGCCCTTCTTTCTCCCTCGTCTCTGGGTCCTGTCTACCCCTGCGCACATTCTATCATAACATTCCCCAAAACTCAGATCTGCCTGCTTCCCCTTCCGTCCCCAAAACCACCACACGGTCCAGCCTCCATCATCCTTCCCCCAGATGATGCAGTGGCTGCCTCACTGGTCACCCCACTCATGCTTGCCCCCACTGTCCTCCACCTCCACTGCAGTCATTTTTTTTAATGTTTATTTATTCTGA